ATAAGACGGATATAATCCTAGCACGTATGCAGGTAATCTACCTAGCTATCTAATTATTATATTAATTATTAATTAGTTATGTAATAATAATAATAAAAAAAATCGTAATATATTAATACGATTAATCGATGTACGAAGATTTACTCTCTAATACGTGCAGGTCCAGCTGACACAAAGGGGTTTCAAATGCCCTATAAATACATGCAATAATTGTTTTCGCTCGCCGAACTATTTGCTAGATCTTCCGGTACGGGCCAGTACGTTACACCTTGTTTTCTGTTACTTTTCAAACCCATCCGCGCCCCGACAAAAAACAAGCGACAAGCGGTTAAGTTGCCGAATAGTTCCATTCGAGCATTTTAATCGCTTCTGGCCACGGCTCGACAGTTTTAGGGCCCGGCTGCTTTTCCTGTTCGTCGTCGCGTTTTTGTTGAGTTAGATCGCCGAGGTATTCGTTTTTGTAGCTCTGTTGGTTTTCCGCGTCGGTTACCCGATATACGCATACATTCCCAGCAGGCAAGATCGCAATGGATGAGACGACAGGGGTAGACTCGTCATCGGTTTGGCTTTTCGTTGATTATTTCACATCAATCGAACCCGATATTAAGTTCTTTAAGTTATAAGATATTTAGACATTGTAATTATTCCTCTCCGTTTTTCATTTAATCGGTCCACACGACCACACACGTGCGCACGCACGCACGCGCGCACGTGTACACGCATACGCACACACGCACGCACGCACGCACACACACGCGCACATGCACACACGCACACACGCACACATACACACATACACGCGCGCACGTGCGCGCACACATGAACACACACACACGCCCGTCCGCCCGCCCGCACGCATATACACACGCACATATACACACATGCATACGCACATCGACCAACTCAGACGCGATACCGGCCTGCAGTCGGCCGATGAAATTCGGTCAATTATGCTGCACAGACCATCCTGGCATGCCATCACCATTCTTCCCGAGGAGACTCGATCTGATTGATTGATTGATTGATACGCACGTACCCGCGCACGCACAGCAGCATACATGCACACATGTACGCATTCACGCAATTGGTGTGTAAAAAGGCGAATATGAAGTTCACGGGTTAACAACTGGAATTGTATCTTATTTTAGAGACTTTTTGCAGTTCCAATGGCTAAAGCTAAAATTGATAAAACCCAATAATGTTACAGTTGATGTATATACAAAATCCTATCGCTAAAGTCTCTCTCAAAGCTTCTATTTATTGGGATAGTGTAGCCATTCTTTCAGGTTTCCTCTTCTCCTATCTTCTTGTATGTATTTAGCTTTATTTTGTATATATCATCCTCTTCATATGTCCTTATATAAGCTATATCTTATATAATATATAGTATATATATATACGTGTGGCGTCCATTGGTGCACGTGTGTGTGCGCGCGCGTGTGTATTTATCTATGTATGTAGATGCGTGGGCGTACTTGCGTGCGTACATACGCAGGCACGTGTGTGAGTGCGCGGGCGTGCGTGAATGAATATTCCACGGATTCCGCCTATCGCGAAGGTTCTCCCTGCTGCGCGCGCTCTCTCTCTCTCTCTCTCTCTCTCTCTCTCTCTCTCGAACGCTATCGCCTCTGGACTCAGATCCAACGCCACCCCACCACGCCAATCACAAACGATGTTGTGAGAGCAAAGCTTATGCGCATAGGCACGGTCCTCGCCAACTACGTCACTTACAAATATGGCCTGAGCTGTTGTGAGATATTGAGTTACCATCTGGAGGCGGGGGTGTGTGCTTCACGCGCGCAGCATATTACCGACTGGCTATTTTCAGTTGATGTGATTGCTTGTGCAGCCTCCAAGGTGTAGGAGCTGCGCGTTCAGCACGAGTGAGAGAAACAAAAGGTAAGTCAGACGCACGCGCCAGCGTTCAGTTCGCTACGCGTACACAGAGCGGGAAGAGAGCTAGAGCCGGGAGTACCGAGTGTATAGTGAGTATAGCGAGCGAGTGAGCACGGAGTACGGTCGGTCTCCAGCGGCGACAGGAAGAGAAAGCTGGGGCGTGTTACGCGTAGATCGAACGTAAGCACGAAGCGGTTGGTAGAGAGTGCAACTTCATGGTGTGTGCCTGCCTGGCCGCGTGTGTGCGACTGTGCGTGCGTGACCGAAGAAACACCAGTCGAAAGTAGTAAAAGAAGAAGAAGAAGAAGAAGGAGGAGGAGGAGGAGGAGGAGGAGGAGGAGGAGGAGGTATCTATTTACACGCGTTTCGCCAAGCCGAATCCGATCGGAAATGGAAATCGCGCCGTGTCGCGTCATTATTTCCAAACATCTCGTTCCGGATTCCTCATGCTCGGCTGGTGTCCTGATCCATCCCCCGTCAGCTCAGCTTACTAGTACCCGCAGATCAATCGCAGTGGTTCTTACGTGCGGCTGTTCCAATGTAAACACGGCCGTTATTTCTCTTCCGTAAGGTCCATCTGGTCCGCGGGCGACTTTAATATGCGATGACATCATCGTTAGGCTCGGGGCGGAGGACGCGGCAAGGCTATCACGCGTAGCACGCTTCGACGAAAACGAAAACTCATGAGAAAGTCCGCCCGACGAAATATTTCGTGAGTGAGTCGGCCGCAGAGACATAGCTTGTATACACACGTGCACGCGTCGGGAATTGGATACTCGCTCACGCATAAATATAAGCGCAAGCAGTCGTTAGGCTTCTAGGTAGGGTTATCGCGTGCACACGGTCCAGTGTAAGACGAATACGCGAAATTGCACGCAGAACGTTTTGTGTTTGTAATCGGTGAAACGCGAAGCATCGCGAAAACGATTAAGATTTCTCTCGTATACAGTACGAGTGTGCGGCGTACGTGTAACGGTGAGTAACTATTAGTCTATACCGCTAATCCACGATGGCAGAGAGCGAGTCGATTGCAGAGACGGCGTTACTGTGGAAATGGAAAAAAACGTTCTTCTGTCTGAGAGCCAATGTATGTTTGTGAACTGGTTTCACTTCATTAAAGCCGATTAAAACCAGCTCATTAAAATTTCGGCGCAATTTGAATTACTGTGCGCAACAAAATTGCTCGCTATACGAGCTATGCATAATGCATAACTGTTTGTTTACATCATATGGGAACGGCAAAATATATGGCAGCAATTTCACCACAATGAGCAAAAAATCCCATAACTGTATTTTAAATGAATAATATTTTGTCGGCGACGCAGTGACGCTAAATGACTCTAATGTCTTCAGAGTGCACGCTGAAGTTCTCGGGTGTCGCTACTTCATATACGATTCAAACGGATTAAAAATTCGAATAATCAGCTAGTTACACGGAAGCCACCCTACGTAGCCAACCTACGTATAAAATAAGCGCACGTGGCAGTTTTAAGTGGATTATGGGGAGAACGATCGCTATCTATTAACTCCGCATATGCAGCTGTTTAAAGCGGCCTATCTTGACGGGGAACCCATACACGCAAAGACAGCCCGTTGAAAGGCTGATCCGTCCGAAAGCGTATTCGGTATTCAAAGCATTCGGCACGCACGGAAAGAGTACGAGGTTCAGCGCCCTAAACGCGGCGGGGCTTTTTAATTCATTCTTCTTTCTAAATGCGGACGTAGATAGCGTGGCATAACGAGCGCATCACCGATAGTGCGCGCACGATTCGCGCAGACGACGCGAGTCACAAAGCGACCGACACCCAAAAAAATAACGTCAAACGTAAACACAAGCGCGTAGAAGGCAGGTTTCAGATGCCTCTGTGACACTTTGAACGCAAAGCAGACGCGCGTATTGCCCCGCAGGGCACACGTACTAGAGTTACTCAGCACTATGTAGACAATTATTAACGTGGGTTAAGTAAACACGGCGTGCAAAACCTCTCGCCGTCTCGCGTGCACCGCAGGCGATGCGGCATGTGTCATCCCCGCATCTATGCTGCTGGCGTCCAAGCTTCACTCTAATTAGCGTTAATGAGTGAAGCCATGACTCTAGTACCCCTGTGCCGAGATACGCGGCTGTTTTTACGCTAGGCAGAGAAACCAGAAATTAAGGTCTGACAATTATAAAATTATTATTGTGCTTCCATTCCCAACTGGTATAGTTAAAGCGCCATCATTCTAAAAGTGCGCTGTGCCGAGATACGCCACTGTTTTTACGTTGAGAAACCAGAAATTAAGGCCTGACAATTACAACATAATAAGTGTACTTGTAAATAATATAGTTTACATTATTAATTCGCAACTGGCATAGCGAAAACGGAAAAGAAGGCGTGATTATACACAATAGGTGATGACCTGCCTTGCGATGGAGTTATGGTTAAGGTTAGAGTAAAGGCGAACATTAAGGATAGCGTTAGGTTCAGGGTTGTGTTTATTCGCCGTGTCTACCGCATTCATTCTCGAAAGCAGGGAATCATTCCGCGCGATTTTTTCTTGCGTGTTCAGCTGTTCATCCGCAGTCGACCACGTCAGTGCATGGGCGACTGCTTTCATGACGCTGTCGCCGTAAACATGCACGGCCCCCAGCGCACGCATAGTCTGAATATGCGTATGCCAGCAATGCGATTGTTGATGTTAGAGGCAAGAATATAAGACTTACTCCATGTTACTCAGCACGTCTTGCAAAACACGCCTCATTTCTTAAGCTTTCGCTTCAGCGCAATGCTACGAACTGGCAAACGCGTGTAATTACACGTAGGTTAAACATCAACAGTTGTTTTTCAATTCTGTAGTTTTTAACGCACTGGAGGGCACACCCACAGTGCTATACACACGCACACACACGCAACATACACACACGCACACACGCACGCACACACACACACACACACACACACACACACACACACACACACACACACACACACACACACACACACACACCAATGACCTTACACCTTATACCCGACATTATGACAGAAGCGTCCATCATAGCCTGCCCCACCAGCACTTAACGCGTAAGACGGAGACCTGGACCGTCAATACGAAACGCAGATGATTGATCCACTGCTACTAGCTCAAGTGTTTTCGACGAGCTTATCACTCGATGTCAACGCGCCATTAAGTTCGCGATAATTAAACAGTCTCGTATCACGGTAGTCTTCATCGGGTTGTTTTCTAAACTTGTAACATTAAAAAAACGGCTCTGTCCTGTCATCGCTACCGTTTGTTAGTCTATCTGTACGATCGCGTGGCAGGGTGCGTTGAGCCGAACATGTCATCGTTCACCCGTGCGTGCGAGCAACGGTAGTGTACGAGCAGTCGCGTTTTTGTGTGTACGAGTCTGATTCTGGCTTTACACTGTATAGAATCTGGAACCAAGATTTTTTTCTGATAAAAACATGTCTGAAGAACAAAAAAAATCAATGTCGGCCAATCACTAGCAAGCAAAATAGACGGACGTCATAATTCCAAGGGATAATAATGACAAATTATTTTGTCATTATTTGTCAATACAAATTATTTGTCACTATTAACCCCCTGATAATCGTACACATGCTCCTACACTACTGAGCACCTATCAATCGGATTCAACTGGATGGTTACCTGATACGGAGTGATCGACCAAACCCCCGCTAAAATAACCGACGCATTTATTTGATATTATTAGACACCCACGATGCTTTCTAAAGCCATTAACATATCGAGAGTCTGTTAACAAAATAATTAAAATTAGTTGGAGTGGCGGGATGACGAATTGAAGTCAACGTGGTTTTGTTAGGAGGGTTGATACTTCACATGGACGGATTAATCTGCACGACTACAAACAACTGTTTTTGTTGGCAAGTCGATCAGATGTTGACATAACGTGAACATCAGATCGACTTACACACGCACGTACGCGCTCACGCACGCACGCGCGTATACACACATGAACACACACACACACACACACACACACACACACACACACACACACACACACACACA